AAGAAGAAGAAGAAGAAGAAGAAGAAGAAGAAGAAGAAGAAGAAGAAGAAGAAAAGTAGCAACAACAATAACAACTCTAATAAAATAAATGACAACAGCAACAACGAAAACAAGAACAACAACAATGGCAACAAGCACAGTAAAAAAACCCTTAAAATAAGCAACATCAAGATATTTCCCACTCGGGATTCGGACCTCATGTCTTCGATGTGGCGCAGCGAAAAACCTTATAGCTGTACCACAGAAACTCATCCACAGTCGCTACCATAGAATCACAAAGTTCTATCCAACATTTTTCGCCGTTTTTAGTTACAAAGACCAAGATGTCTGATACCAATAAATGTTGTTGTATTTATTCGGTCAAAATTGTACTATCATTTGCACTCGTAATTAAGATATTCAAAGAATTGCATTGGAAAGAAAGCTGGATATGTTGTGAACCTTAACAATATTAACGTCACATTTAACTAAACTAGGTACTGAGTATCTAGAACTTTGTAATTTTGGGGTAGCGTACTGTGAGCTGAAAACCATCAGTATGTCTTGGCACGGAGACCACCTTGTCACCGACAGTCTGTCGTACGTGGCCTTGAACAGCAACAGGAACAGTCGAACCTGCTCCAACCGTCGCCTGTCCAAAACAATCATCTGTATAAATATAACTGTTGAGCTATAAAGAATTCAATAAAAATTGCCAAACTGACTAGCATATTTCGTTTCTTTTTATTTTGACGAGCGCCTGATTTCACCATGATACCTCACATATTAATATAACGACACTGCTCAAGAGGACCGCCTGTCTGAGACGACTACTTTTCTCCTCGGTGGCGGGTGGTTGTTTCAACAAATTTTGATTGTAATTTGTTTTCGTCTCTCCGTCCTTAGATTGGTTACAAGAGTCTGATCAGCATCATGAGCATATAAACGCGGAAGTTATAATAAAATAGATATCTAGGTCTATCAGGCTTGGCCAGCACGCCCAAATCGCAGGCCGGATTGAGCCATTCCTAATATCTCGAGGGCCAATTTGTTTGTTTGTTTGAGTAAAGAACAGCACATCGACTCAATAATGGTCATTTAGTGCAGGGA